CATCACACTGCAGAGCAGACGGCGCGGTAACCGAGGCATGGTGGGGTGGGGGAGTTGTGATATGTGGTGTGCCATGTGATTGGTGGTAGACTGAGTGCTGCTAATTGCGCTTTTACCCAAATGCAGACCTCTGCTCATTAATCACGCACTGGGCTTTAAGAATTTAAGAGAAATAAACAAACATGATCGCAATAACAAGAGGACTTAATTGAGCCCCCAATGCAGGACAAACATGTTACACAATGGGTAAAGGAAAAGGAGCGGGAAAACATGAAAGAGTGACCAGAGAGTGGGGAGACCCCTAATAGAGTAGAACAGCTGGCTCTATTCCACTGTTATTTGGCCATTTGAACTTCATTGTTCCTGTGTGTGATGGATGCAGCTGGAGAAGGCTGAGACTGGGGGATGGAGAGGGGCCCATTTGTTCTGCAGGCTCTGAGATGAGGGGAGGATATATTTTCCTTTCATTCTCCGTGGGAGGGCATTCACTAACTCTGTAAATAACTCCAATTAACTCCAGTCAAGGGGTGACATGCCCTGCTGCAGTCCATCATGTGCCATCATGTGCCTAGGTCTGGCTCACATTGGACATTATTGCAGTCAATAATTACTTTGTATACTATAAGGTATACAAAGCAATAAGGTATGAGGTCGTGCTATGTTAAAACTAGGGATGCACCAATATTAAAACATTAATCATAGAAAATAAGAAGAAATGTTTCTTGAGCACCAGCATCTTCTTCAGCATGTTAGAATGATTTCTGAAGGATAGTGTGACACTGAAGACTGATTTAATAGCTGCTGAAAATTCAGTTTTGTCACAGGAATAAATTAGTTTAAAATACATTAAAATAAATAATTTTATTTAAATCGTAATAATATTCACAATATTACTGTTTTGACTATTTCTGAGCAATTTAATGCCGCTTTAATGAGCATAAGAGACTTGTCTTACTAACCCCAAACTTTTAAAGAAAAAAAAAACTATTTCATTAATCAAACTTATTAAATGCCACCTTTCAACAAGACGATATAGGCTAGTCCATGACAGGTAAACAACAAAATGGTATTTCCAATCAGCTTCCTGGAACTTTCTGTTTTATAATGGTATTTTATAAGGATCCAACATCTTTTATACATAAGAAAAAAGACAAAACAAGAGCCTGAAAGATAATGAAATTGGAACAGAGAAATAATCTGATGCATAGTGAAAAGTCTTTCTGACCAGAAACTATTGGAGAATGGGTAATTGTGCTCATCCACCAAATAAGTTAACCTATAATTAGTTTCTCCTAGGGAAGAAGAAAGCGCTGAACATTAACTTCTGCTTGCACAGAAAAAATAACAGAGTTAACCTTTTAAAAGATGCTCTCTACAATGTGCTTACTCAAGGTCAAAGAAAACAAGGCATGCCGGTCTCTCAGTTCCTCTACGTAGCAGTTTCAAATCCAGAGCTCCGTTTCCATCAAGGTCTGCACTTTTACTTCAGCTTTTCATCACCAGCTCAGACGAAGTCTTGAGATAAAGCTACATCAGAGACCTTTTCCATCAAATCTGCTGCTGCGTTAGCTATGACATTCAGTCTGTTTCAGGACAGCGTTCAGTCCATGCATCATCCCGTGACGTTCCTGTTGCCCCCTGTACTGTAACATAAAGATCCTATTCTGTTTACTCACAGCAGACGGCAATGGGGTCCAAAAAAGTCTGTTTCAGCAACTAGAGCATTGTGTTTATCCATCGAACATCTGCACGGAGATTCGGAGAACATAGTAGCTTGTGGTCAAGCACAAATTAAGGATGGTTATTCAGTATCCTGTGCTTTAAGGAAATAAAACATTTCAAACATCACATCATGGTGTTAACACCTACACTGGTTTACAGGTGCTAGAGGAGTAGAGGTGCAAGCTGGGAAGAAAATTCACTTTTAGCACATTTGCGGAAAGCAAAAACTTCCCCAAATGTTCCGTAGCTGTTAGGCGGCTTTAAACCGAGCAAGCTGAGAAAGGAGATTTAAACAGACGGCTGCCACTTGTGAGCAAGTGCAGTATATTACCTTTCTCAGAGGGGAATTAGATCTCTTGAAGGGCTCTCAGAGCTTTAAAAAAAATGTTCGTTTTTGGATGTGATGAGGCTGGAAGAGGTAGAGTAAGGAACTGGGTTAATACACTGTCATTTCACAGTCAGTGTGAATGCAAAACAGCTCCATGGACCGTCCCCACTGTCTGTGGCCTGCTTAAAGGCCAAACCTCAGAGATATTTTCTTCTGCGAGTTTGAGAACAGCGCATCTGAAGTCTCTATCTCTGTTGAGAGCAGTCTCTCTGTCATCTGCTCACACCTCAAAGCCACAGGAACATTAAAACATCTGCCGATCTTCTCATGATGCCTGACGACTGAGAAGCAAGCACGTCAATGAGGCCAAGTCTGAGGCTTCAGCGAAGTTCGGCGTGTACTGCATGGCTTCACGCTTCTCTCCACAATGCTTTCCATCTCTGTCACCAAAAAAGACACTGAGGAGATTAAAGCATGAGAGATCCAACACTGCAAGGCTTAAGATTGCCACCTCAGCCCCAGATACAACAAAGCTTGCCAATCTCGACTAGATTCAATACATCCGGCCTATTCATCTCTGTTCCAGACCACCGTTTTGTCCACTTCTTAATGTCAATACTAATAGATAGTAATGCATTTAGATCTTTCCAGTAAGAGGAGAAACTCAGAACCTCAGCAATCCTCTGATAATTATCAAACAGGGTTGACATTGCTAGAATACAGCACACAGTCTGAAGATGGGTGTCTGTATCATCACCATGACGATACTTTTTAATAGCTATTAAAAACTGTGCAGTTAATGAAACAAAGAAAGACCACATTCATTTTTTCCCCACTGTTATATCAGTGGCTTTATGGTAAATTTTTCTTCTTTTTCTGTTGTTGTTGTAATTTGCCCACAGCTGTCCAACAATGTAAACAAACACAGAAAAATAGTAACACAGATGTGGTGAACAATGAAATAGTGTAGTTTAAAAAAACAGGGTATAATAAAAAAGAAAATACTTAAAAGGGGTTAAAAAATAAAATGTTTTACAACTTTTTACTTTTAATGTTTAAAAAAAGTTTTCAGAGCATATCTGTGGACTGAATCACAATGACACCACAAAACTAGGCATTATAAGTTATTTAGGAACTATTTTGTCCTCCACTGACTGTCTAACGTTGATGCCAGAGATTATACATAAGGCAGGAGGGTGCTGGGGGAGAGAGAGAGAAAAAGAGAGTCCCATTGTTGGTCTCAGGAGTTGCAGTATAATTACTATAGCACATGCGGGGCCTCTATGAAGATGCCTGGCTACAGGCCGGGGACCAGCTTTTGTACTGATGTCTCCCTGCAGCCCCACTGCACTATGAGTGAACTCTCCTTCCTTTTTCACATGGCTCTTTCTCCTGTTTCCCTCCTCTCTTACTGTAACTTAATGTATATGTATTAATATTATTTCCTATTAAATTATATATTCCAAATGGTAATATACTATATACTACATATATATATTTATATTTATTATATTTTATTTTTTATTATCATTTATTATTTCCATTATAACTATTGCGCTCAAGATAAAAAAAACAAAATCTATGTGAGCCAGCCAGATGTTACCGTGGCAACATATTTAAATTAGCAGATTTTCAGTGTGAGAAAACCAAACATTTCCGTTTACAAGCCACAAAAAATGTATACATGATCATCAATCATAAGAAACCCTGACAGCACAGCACTAACCTGACTATCGACAGTTCCATCAACTAGCACTGGGCCATCAAACCATCCTTATTGTTAAGCCCTGCACTCATCTCGATTTCTTGACCTTTTGTCTTCCCTCCCTTCCTCTCTGTAATCTGCAAAAGGACACATTTCTATCCCCCCTTTGTGTGGAACAGGGAACCAAAGGCTGGAAGGCAAAGTAGAGGATCTCTCCCCAGAGATTTAAGACACGAATGACACAGCAGATGTGGAGGAGCTGTCAGCCGATATCCCTGCTCCTGTCCAGAGCGAGAGTCACAGCTTCTGAATACGACAGCATGCCAGGACGGCCTGTCAGTTGGTGTCCGCAGGCTAACAAATGCTGCTTTACCTTTCCATCAACCCACAAAAATTTCATTTCAATCATCTTCTCACCCCTGCAGAATCTGGTGAGACTGGGATCGAAAGCATTACTAAAATTAAACTCTTCTGCCAAAACCCGAGCCACAGTTGCCAATCAAAAGCACTGGGATATAAACCAATAGCTGAAACACTATCTGCTGGCAGTATCAAACGCCTTATGATACGTTTTCAAACTGTGCAGTATTTTCCCAAATAGTCAGTGGCCTAAATGCAGTTTAATTGATGTGAGGCTACGCTCTAAACCAGATGCTAAGATTTTCCTCTGTAGTCAAGGGCCATGTTTCATGTCTGAAAAGCACAGGCTGACCCAGAGCTCTAATGGCCCTCAGGGAGAGGATTCTGCATGTGTCAGCTTATGCCCGAGACACACTTTCTCTGTTAATAATCTCTCTCGCTTTGTTCTCGCCTCTGCGCAGAGTCTGCCCGGCCCACCAAGGGTTTAGTTTCAGAGGGGGTCAGTCTCTTTCATTAGGGCTGCTGTTCTTGATCAGAGTTGGATTTCCATGATAATTAGCCATGACTCAAACTGACACCAGAGGAAACCCAACGAACAGACCAGTCACATCTGACCTCTCCTATGTCTATGTCCATCCAACAGGACGTTCAAAGGGCAAAAGATCAGTGTCAAAAAGAAAGGCCGTACGAGTTATGAGACTGACAACCGTGATAACTCTAAAAGATGATCTTAAAAACCATCTGCAATCATCTCAAGCATGATGCACAACAGTGAACAAAAGTGAATTGTCTGCTCTATTCCTTTCGCTTCACTTTGTAATGGACAAAACACTGACCAGACCATGTGTAAAATGGACCATAAGTGAAATATAAAAAGCATCCTACCTGTCTTGTGACTGTTCTTCATACATTCTCTCCTTGGCTTCCTTAAAGAGGCGGATTGCTCTTTTGGATTTCTTCATCAGGCTGTCGATGTACACTTTGAAAAAGTCATTCTCACTTAGCTGAGTAAGTCTCTGGTTCTCTTCATATTTGCACAGAATCAGCCTCAGGTGCTGGTAAGTGTCAGGTAAAATATCCAGGATGTACGGAGGACTGTTCTTCAGCTGTAGTCTGGGGTTCTGACATAACCTCACCTAAAAAAAACACACACACATCGCTGCTTAGAAAAACCAACTCCTCTTCACTGAGAACAAAGTAAACGGCAATTTTCAATAATCAATTTATTAAAAAAAAAAAAGAAAGAAAGAAAAATTCAAAAGGTAGGTGGTATTTCTGACAAATCTTCTATAAAATATAGTAATGATAGATGCATGGGAAATAAATCACATAAGATATAGTATAAATGTATACATTAATATATAAATAATATTTTTTAAATCACAAAAGGACTACATATATAAAAAAAATAAATACATGTTTTATTACTTTTTATATATAAAACATGTTAAAAAAGGGCGCTCAAAATATACATTTCTGTGAGATATATAAGTTCCAATTTTATATTTTTGTTATATGTATGTGTGTGTCTAATAATATATATACATAGACACACACACACATTTTTTAATGTTTTTGAAAGCGTGTCTTATGAAATAATAAATATTACATATTATATATTATATTATATTATTATATTAAACACACATTTGTATATATTACACAAATTGAAAAATCACAAATTACAAAGGACTGCATATATATAGTGGAAAAATATTTTGTCTATTGATTATATCTAAAATTATAATATACATAACTTGTGAGATAGATAGATAGATAGATAGATAGATGGATAGATAGATAGAAGTTAACTGGGTGGATTTCAGCAACGAACAAACTTCTCGAGTTTGCCGCCAGACAGTAAACAGTTTGCTACAATGTATCAAACAAACGCTTCCAAACAACCGACTTCATGGAAAAGTCTCTCAGCGCGGGAGAGAAGAGGAAGCACTGTTGCGTCATCGGCAGCAAGACTGTAAACATACTCAGGACACTTACTACTTTGTCCATGAGTTTCCATGTCTTCTCTACGGTCCGGCGGTCCGCGGCCGCCTGCTTGGGGGGTCCGACAGCGTCCTGGATGGCGTCAATAATGCCTAAAATACGGCCTTTCCGATTGTTAGGTGGGCGTCCACTGAGAGCAGTTGCCATTTTCTGCACACTGTAACACACAAAAATGTTGCTGCTGAAGGCAACAAAACACATGTGGGAAGATATGTGACAGTATAAATGTGCTGTACCAGCACCGAAAACCTTCGGTCTTTTATATCAGTCCAGCGTTTAATACAAAGTCAAGACTAGTCTAGTGAAATTAAAATGCTTGAACTTTGTAACTAAGCAATAGCAACGCCATTATCCCATTTAATCCCACTGGTTACATTTGTGAACATTAAACCATGTATAATACAATATACAAATGCACCTAACATATACTGTACATGTAATGTGTATAGGGTCTAATAATAATTTATGAACAAAAAATTTGTTTCATACAAATCACGGTCATTATCCATGTAAACATGTCAGTGGTCACTTTTGAATGAGTAACTGATTAAATCACATTCTAAACGTTTTTTAAAACTTTTTCAGAAAAAAACACGCAGTTTGTTTAATTAGGTTGTCTAAGCAGTAAAATACAAGTCCCCAATTAACTGGGAATAATTTCGGATTAAACCGTTTAAAAACCACCCTGCAAAAAGGGTTACAGTGTTGCACTATTTAAAAGAGCATGTAACAAAATGCGTTGTAGCAAAAAAATGTAACGATGTTCAAAACCATGACAACTCGTTAGCCAAAGCAAGGATCTTAAAGTCATTGTAAAATGCGGCAAATTGCTCTTTTGTATCATCTATAAACTCCAGACTTACTGCGGCAAAAGGAAAACAGTGTAGCTGCCAAGACAGGGAATGTCAGAGTTCCTGAGTTGAAGCTTTAGGGAGGTCCCCACAACAAATACAACAAACGCAACAAAAACACAACGCCAATGCCAGGAAACTGTTACATCTCTGCCCAGATGTTCAGAAACTTGAAGCGGCTCTTCCGTAGCCTCACGCAGAAACCGCTTAAACGCAGTACAATCCCGCTTTTCTCGCTGTCTGATATGGTCGTGTCACTGCTCGCTTAAAAATCAGTACTGGAATAAGAAGCAGCGAAAGCAACAGGGAGGAGCCGAGTGGGCGGAGCCGATGAAGCAATCGCTCTCAGGTGGCCAATCAGAAGGCGGGAACGTTCTCGGAGGTGATGGAGTCCTCCAATCGCCAATTAAAGTGGAGACTTTAACTGCATACTTAATATTTCCGCAAATGAGGAGGCAATGAAATCGTGCAAAGCGTTTTGTAGGTTGTTCCTATTATGCAAATTGTACATTCAGTCGTCTTCACTTTCTCCGATGGAAACAAGTATTATGGCAAGCCGGCTTAGCATTTATTCCTTAAAAATACCTAAATATTGTGCCATGTATGCTAATAATTTTTTATTACTAGTACCTAATCCATTAGTGACTAGCATATTTTTTTCACTAGTACTATTCAATAGATAATTGCACTTATTTTAATAGCAACTAACTTCAATTCAATTACTCATTAACTTATTAATTAGATACTAAATACATAGTTATTGATAATGATACTAGTGACAATGGAATAGATATTAGTATCTCATAAATAGCTACTACTAATACTAAAATGGATGCTAATTACTATAAAGTAAGTTCTAGTACCATAGATAAGTAAGGGATAATCAACGGCTTCGCGTTTAAATCCTTTAATGCACGGCTAGCCGTTGATTATCCCGCTTATTCCATAGTCATTTGCCAAGTTATAGACAAGTTAAAACTAGTATTGCTCTTTGCAGCACAATATTTGACCGAATGGGTAAAAATGACAGTTATTTTCATCAGTTACGGCACGTTAGCGCTAACATTCTGCCCGCTTCAAATCATACACAGAGATGAAATAGTGCGGTAAGACCACATCAACCCCTAGTGTGCAGCACAGTCTGTGATCTCCGACCTCTCTCTCTCTCTCTCTCTCTCTCTCTCTCTCTCTCTCTCTCTCTCTGTCTGTGTGTGTGTGTGTGTGTGTGTGTGCAAGTGATGCATGTTGGTTAGTGTGCATCAATTAAAGCAGCGCATTAATATAGAACGGTGATTAAACTGACTTGGAACTACCTGTGCATTAAACGGTTTTACTGCATACCTGCCAGCCAGTCAGAATCCAGTATTCAGACAGACCATGGAATAAACTAGAATAAGAAGTAACTGGAATATTACTCAATTGAAATTTAAATTGCAAAAGTTTGTGATTTGTTGCTAGTAACATTAGAATCGTTGAATTGGGAAAGTGACAAGTAGCAATGGAATAAGTACTAGAATCTAATGAATAATTTAATAAAATAAGTAGGCTAGGCTACTACTGATGTAAAAATAGATATGACTATACTAGTTAGTTTAAAAGAATAGATGTTAAATTGGCTTTCCACGGGTCCTGTTGTTTAGCTGCCCTATATCCACGTGGGCCATTGGCGGAACATTTTGTCTCGACCGTTTAATAAGGAATGTCTTGCTCTTCCTCTTCTGCATATTCTGTCTTCATCTCCTTCAGTTCATCTTCCTCATGTTTGTATTCTTAGCTGGATATTCACAGTCATGGAAAACCTGGAAATATCTGGGATTTCAACATTTTGATTTCTAGGCCTGGAAAAGTTAATTCATCCAGAGTTGTGTATGTTAAGGCTTGTTCTGTTTGTGAACGATTCATAATTTTGAAAGGATTCTTTGATAGAAAAGCACTTGACAGTATTTCATCATAATGTCTGGCTTTCAATTTATGATCTTATTTTCAGGTACATCATGTCATATTTTGTAAATATAAACAATATAAGGCCTTGCCAACAACCAGCAATCTTTTAGATTGGTATTTCACCCAGACCAGCTACATATGGATTTCATATTCTACTCTTTAATTGACTATACACTGAACTCACTGTTAAATCTTACCGTTACAGTACAAGAATGAGTGATTCTCTACAGAACCTCTGTGAAATATGGAACTGTGAGGTCAAACCACTACAAAAAAACATGGTATAAGCACTCAAAAGGGAAGCAGGAAGTAGCAAAAACAATGAAACATCTTTGCACCTGAAGGCACAACAGAATATGCAGACACTACAGAATAGACTGGTTTATTCAGAGATGAACACAATCTGATAAAGGAATCAGTAAAGGAGATCAGAAATTTAAGACATGACTCATTTAACTGAGAATCGGTGCAGGGCTTTAATGTATCCAGAAAATGCTCAGACATGTCTGGAGTGAATGCAGCTATTTATGTGGTTAGTACATAACCCTTCTACTTTGTCAGAAAATCACAGAGAATTATCAGTTGCTTTCAAAGAATGAAAGAAGATTTTATATCGTCCTGACTTGTATATACTGTCTGATGGCAAATTAGAAATTTTAAACTTGCCCCTATCTGCAGCAAAGCACCATGAATGATGTTTGTAATGAGAATGGAGGTCCCTGGGGCCATGACCAAGAGGTCACACGATACAGCGCAGCGCTTATTAAAGCACAACGCTCTCAGTTCCACTTCCATGACATTACACACACACACACACAGACACAGGATATGTGATCCAATATCTCCAGGGCATATCTTTCTCCAAAGAAAGGAGAGCAGCTAGAGAAAAAGTTGCACAAGATGAACAATCATATTATTACAGGGGCTGATGTTGATACACACACACACACACATATGAAATTAAATAAATTCATATACTTTTAATAAATAATTAAACCTCACCATCTCAGTACGTCACAACAGGATGTAAAGCGATTGTCAAGTTATGCTTGAAAGGTCAGCATAACCGATTTCCTCTCAAAAGTATCAGACGGTCAGCATAATATCTTGCTTCTCTGTTAGAATGTGACCCTGCTTTCGATTTCCCTTTTCCTGACCTGTGGAGGTCAAGTATGTGATAATAGTTTGGAGGGGAGGAGGCAAAAGAGCCCAGAGTGAGTGTTTCTGGCCAGTCAATAACCCCCAGCATTAACTTAAACCATACATAAAAACATACAAAATCAATTAAGTAACAGATCACAAATTGCATCTGTCTCAACCAAAAAAATAACGTACATTGCGACGTGTAGCAAAGTGGCTTTGGCACAATATGCTGACTGAAGTGATGAAAAATATCATCGGCATGTCTCTGAGTCATTATTTTTCTGCTATGACTAAACACACTTCAGTATTTCCGAGCGAGCTGTCTTTCAGGATGTCTGTGGCCTGTTAACAGTGTGCGAAACGTGACAGTCACAGATTGCACTCAACAGGATTCACAATCAAGGTGTGGAGGTTCACAGTGAAATGTCAGGATTATCAGGATTGGGATGTTGCTCATTGTTTTGATAACAATATTGTTTTTGGCAACAGGGCGCAGTGATGTCATTAAGTATTGCAAAATAATTCCCTGGTTATTTGCTCAGATGTAAAATTATGAAACTATGTTGCCATAAGACATAAGAATTTCATCTGCTTTCCATACAGGAAGTCGTATAGCATTGAGCTAATTCAATCAGGGGGTTATCATGTGTGCCAGTGCATGTTCAGGCCTTATGTAAAAGGCCTTATTGTGTCCACGGGAATGATTTGCTTCAGAGTGGCCTGATAGTAAAGATGCCTATACATATTTAAAACTTTATAAACCAGAATCTAGCATCCACTTACTGTTGTGTGCATCATGAGAGAGTGGCATTGCAGCGGAGTTCATCTCAACTAATGTAGTTAACTAATGTTAATAAATGAAATTTTATTGTAAAGTGTTACCCTGATTTGTAGCTGGTCCAAGCCCATTCAGACTGGTTTTGATGATTGAGAAACTACAATATCAACTGGCCTGCAGCAAAACTTAACAGATTAAGGTCCAGCTGGTTTTTGGAACCTGATAGATGGCTTCGTACTGGTCTAAGATGGTCTACCAGCCCAGTCAGGTCCCTGCCAGCTGGCATTTCAAATCTAAACTATGTTGAACCAGCTTGGACCAGCTGCAATGTTCTAAATCACTAAAGCTGGATTTTCCAACAGGGCATTCGAATTTTGACTTGAACAGCCAGGATACTGGCTTCAAAAACCTCTCTTCTGATTCCCATGGTTGGACATAAAGTTTAGCAGTTTGTTCTGGTAATGGTATAGTAAACATTGAAAACTTCGGCAAACAAACACAAATATCCAGCCCCGACAGTCCAAGGCCTGCCAGGACAGGAGATTGTTACCCGCTATTTTTCTCTGACAATAGAGTTTCCTGATGCTGCAACCAATAGCTATGCTAAAATTTACTTTACATTAATGTTAGGGACACAGATTTAATATAAAACATAAAATAGCCATTGATATTCATGTAACCTTTCAGCAGTTTTGGTCTGAACTGTGTCTTTTCTCTGAAATATCTTTCTGCCATTCTTCTTGGTTTGTATCAGGTTGTGTATCCACAGCGATGCCCATGGCAACAGAGCTACATAAAGATTCATGAAAGGCTGTGGCGCTCAGATAAGACATAGGAGTTCTGTCAGAGAGGAAACAGCTAAAGATGAGAAACAATCCAGTCAACCAGAAAACCACACAACCTCTAATCTGTACTGCAGCTGGTCTTTGGGCTACTTTGTACCAAACGTGTTCACCCGCACACACACACAAACAGATATGCGCACGTACACACAGGCCTCGCTCTGTGGCCTCGCAATGAGGTCGCATAACTGCACCATCATTGCCATCGTCATTATAGTCATCTTCATCATCATGTCCTGTCTTCATTTTCAAGCACTGATTCATGTCTTCTTAAAGAAACAGTTCAGCTATAAAAAAAAATGTACTCACCCTCATATGACTTTCTTTTGTCTGTGGAACATAAAAGGAGAGTTTTGAAGGATTGTGCTAGTCGCTTGTATAATTACAATTATAATAAAGGCTTTTAAGCTTCAAAAAGGACACAAAAACACTGCAAAACTATAATTAAAATGGTCTGTACTCTACATTTCAAGTCTTCTGAAGCCATAGGAAAACTTTGTGTGAGGAACAGACTGAAATTCAAATAAAAAAACACAGTCTGATTGAAC